TGCAACACGTTTACATAAATATAGTAGGTACTGTTAGTTACGCACATTTGTAAGTGTTCATTAAGATAGGAACTACTATAAGCAAGATCATCCATGCCCATTTCCAGGACTGACAGGTCAAACTCATTTCTCCTCAGTACTTATCTTGCTGTCCTATATGCTGTAATTTGAGGACACTTACCACTATAGAATGCATCTCCTATGTGACGTTTACATAAATATAGTAGGTACTGTTAGTTACGCACATTTGTAAGTGTTCATTAAGATAGGAACTACTATAAGCAAGATCATCCATGCCCATTTCCAGGACTGACAGGTCAAACTCATTTCTCCTCAGTACTTATCTTGCTGTCCTATATGCTGTAATTTGAGGACACTTACCACTATAGAATGCATCTCCTATGTGCATCAGAATGAGAACTGTTTCCCCTTTCCTTCTAATACATTATTATTATTATTTCCTAAAAAACTGGAAATGTGGCCCAATTGTAGTCTTTACGTATAGATGCAAGTGAAATTGCCATCTTCAAATGTACACTTGGATTTGGAAATAATTAGTTTTTCTTTTTGCCTTCCAAGGATTTTGGTATGTGTGGTATCAGAGTTGGAGTGTTATACACCAGAAGTCATGAAATTCGGAAAGCCGTGAATCAGCTGGCTGTTTTTCATGGGTGTCCTGGGCCTGTTCAATATGTTCTCAGCCAGTTTCTTAGTGATCGAGGTTAGCAAAACAAAAATATGGCAATTTTCATTGTTTGATGATTGTTGGAAATAAACCAGAACTGAAATATGACAATTCTTTTTTTTGTTTGTTTTTTGTTTTTTTAAAGATTGGCTGGATAATGTGTATTTTCCTACCAACAAAAAAAGACTTCGAGAAGCGCAGAATATTCTTGTGGATGGTCTCACAGAGATTGGAATACCTGTTTTCAAAAGTTCAGGAGGATTATATGTATGGGCAGATTTCAGGAAAGTATGTTGGAAACTTGGAGAGGATGGAAGCAATAGTTTAGAAAAAGTAATGCTGACAAAAGTTTGTGAAGGCTTGTGGAATTTTTAGAGAGATATTCCTGTCATCTTATCTTGTCTATTTTCTTTTCATATTAAAAATTATATTGCATTTTGGCAAGTGCAAAAAAGCCTAGCAGACAGCAGTTCAATTGAGTACATACTGTAAAAATAAGAACTAAAGGCAGTTTATTAAAATGTTCTATTAAATATAGAACACCTCCCTTTAGAAGACTTCATGTTCCAATAGATATGGTGCTGGACTAACAGCTGAGCCATGGGGGCTGGTCATTGCTGTGTCCTAGGGCAAGTTACATAATGTCTGTGCTTCCATTTACACATCAGTAAAATGATGACATTTGCTCACCTTTGAAAGTTTTAAAACAAACATCACTATATAAATTAATGCAGTGTAAGTCTCTCTGAAACACAACTAGAGCAGATTGGTGGAAAATTTTAGTCTACCACTGACTGTGCTATACCTGTCCCACAGATGGATATGTATCTCTAGCACTGCTAATAAACGGCATTGTCACATAAAATATTTAACTGGAGGAATCTGAATAACATTTATAACAAACAAGCCACAATATTTTGAGATGTGACTATTTATCGTGTTAGTTATGCTAGTGCCTGGGGCCAGCCAAGAACAGGCCCACTTGTGCTAGTCCAGGGGTGGACAATTTTTAAAAGGGAGCATGGCGGGCTCGATCTGGCCTTTGAAGGCTGTCTTGCCTACCCCTGTGCTAGTCACGGTACAAACATAAAATAAGAAACTGTCCCTAACCTGAAATGCAGACAATCTACATGACCAATGGGCTTAGCGGGAGATCAACATTGTGGAGATCAGTTCTGGGATTTTATTTAGCAAGCCTAGTAAGGACCCACTAAATCAAGCACTGAGGGCACCCCTATTGACTCTGGTACTCTGCCAGGTCACAAGGAGTAAGGGAAGACAATGGGAAAAATCCCTTTGTAACTGACACTGCAAAAATTCAACCTAAGGTATGTCAACTCTGTGAATGGCCAGGTCTACACTAAATCTACAGTTATGCTGTGATGGCAGCAAACTTCCTGTTCTGTGAATTTTGTGGTTTAAATATATTCAGTGAGGTTGTTAGGAATGGATTAATTGGATGGAACAACAAAGAGCCTGTCAGTGCAAAGGAGAGAGAGTTCATAGTGAGAATTTTAAAAAGCAGTCTGATATTTTGAGTGTCTTTGCCCAGTCCCTGGTTGAACTACTTTCTGCAGCTGCTTTGTATACTTCAGTTTTCTCTGAAGAGTTAACGCAGGCTCTGGTTTTAGTATTGCCCCTCGCACCACCTCCTTCCACATATAAATTCTTCTGACAGAGATTTAATGTGGCCCCGCTAACATTTAAGCTAGAGCCCACATGCTGCTTTCACTTAGGCTAGTAACTGAGGATTCAGGCTAAATCACTCAATTTCTAATTGTCGTCTTATGCCTTTCCACAATTCCCAGTGTTCCCAGAAGGATGGACAAGTTCGTTCATAATTCACTGGGAAAGAATTAACAGAGCCGTTTAGTTTACTTCAATACAAAGAACCATAGGATATGACTGAAGTCCGAGTATTTGTAATTTGGGTATGGCTCTGCAGTCTCACTAATCTGGTTCTCAGATCCTGGTTCAAAGCACCTGAGTTACTTCTGCACTGAAGGCATACCCTGTTTGGCTCCTTCCTGCTGCAACTTTCTCAAAGGCCACATGGCTATATGGGAATACTGCCTGGGTACTTTTGCCATAGACTGGACAGTTCAGTATTTTCACCTCCTGTCCGGTAAAAAAAAAATGCAGAAAATACCGGACACCTAAAATGCCCGGTACCTTCTGATTTCCTCCCCCTCTCCCTCCCCCCGGCCAGGAGGCGAAAATCCCAGGCTGTCTGGCTCAATACAGAGGCAGCCTGGCAACCCTAGTGCTTACCAGGTTCTGCAGGGGACCTGTCTGGCCCCGGCAAGATGGCGGGCAGCTGCTGGCAGCCTGTTAAGGCCAAAAAGCCTCACCACGTGTTTTTTAAAGGGGTCATGCTGGGTTTTTTCTCTATTTTGGGGGGTGGGGAGAAGTTGGTTTTTTGTTTTGTTAACAACTCTTGGGGTCCTTTTTGTTTGGTATTTTTTCTGAAACCATCTGGTAACGCTACAGATAAGTCTGGCCTACATAGTATGAACACACAGAATGGACCTCACAAGCTTATGCAATATAATGGGCAAAGGAATTATTAACAAGCATTTGACTTGATTTTCTGAATTGCTGAGCCCTCAAAACTCTGAAAAGAAGTTGTTGGGAGCTGCAGGTGTTCAGTAATTCTGAACCTCAGATCTTTTTCTGCATTGGCCTTGATGTGGAGTATACTTTTTGTAGTAGTTCATTATTTTGAGGTTCTGTTCCAGTTTTCCTAAAGCAGTTTTTGTTTTTCCTCTTTAGTTCCTAAAATCACAGACATTTGAAGCGGAAATGGAGTTATGGTGGAAGTTCCTTGATGAAAAACTACTCATTAGTCCTGGGAAAGCCTTCTGCTGTTATGAGCCTGGATGGTTTAGAATGGTCTTCTCAGACTCTATAGATAACATTTACTTGGGTAAGTAGTGTGTTGCCTATTTTATAATAAAAGTATATTCCGATAAAAGCAAATAGCATTCTGGGAAGTTATCTGCAGGAGTTTTGGTAAGCAAGGCAAAAGTAGTAATTCTTCCACCTTACTTCACTCTGATAAGGTCTCAGCTGGTGTATTGTGTCCAGTTCTGGATGCCACATTTCAGAAAAGTTTGGAACAAATTGGGGAAAGTCAAGAAGAGAGCAACAAAAATTATTAAAAGTCTCTAGAAAACGACCAGTGAGGAAAGATTGAAAAAATAGGTTTGTTTCTTCTGGAAAATAGAACCCTGAGGTGGAGGGAGGAGATAACAGTTACAATGAGGTGGTAGTGGAAAAATTGTTCTTAGTAATCTCTGAGGTTAAGACAGGAGGCAATCGCATAAATTGCAGAAAAGGAGGCTTACAGTGAATATTAAGAAAAATGTCCTGTATTGGTAGTTAAGCACTGGAACAGACCCCTAGGGAGGTTGCAGAATTTCCATCATTGAAGGTTTTTAAGAACAGATTACACAAACATTCATCAGGAATGATCTAGATATTACTTCTGTCCTGAGTGCAAAGCTCTGGACTAGATGATCTACTTAAGTCCCTTCTGGTCCTTCATTTTTATGATTCTATGGAATACTAGAAACAGAAGGGACCTTGAGAGGTCACCAAGTCCAGTCCCCTGCCCTCATGGCAGAACCAAGCACTATCTAGATCATCCCTGACAGTTGTTTGTCTAACATGCTCTTAGAGAGAGGTGTTACATCTCAAATGGTCTGTTCAAAATATTTGTGTCCTACATGACTTATAAAGACAAGAGGTTTGGGGCCATATTCAGACTGTGTAAAATAGTGCCAGTCAGTTAGGTTACATCTTCACTACAGCAGAAAGTCAACTTAAGCTACGCAACTCCAGCTATGTGAATAACCTAGCAGGAGTCGACATCTCTTAAGTCAAGAGATGTCTGTACTGCAGGTTTTGATGGAGAGTATATCACATGCCATGGTGCCTCATAAGGTGCATCCCCTATTTTCTTTCAATGAGTTTGTTGTACGGGTGATGACCCATAATGGACCATCAAATGGGCTAGGCAGTGCTGATGCCCATCTGTCTGGGGGTGTCACCCAGAAACACAGCACAATTTTGAAATACAGATATACTACATATGCATAGAATATAATCATCTCCTAATACAAAGCTGATACAAATGTAAACAAAATGGTGATACTTGGCAATTAATAATATTGCCACAGATATCTCACAGAGCATATCCAGTCAGACACCAGTGTTATGAAATTCCAAGGAATCAGCAATATCATGAAGTGTCTCTGATATTCCATACAGCAACACAGCGCATACTGTTGGTATATTTTATAATTAGATCTTACCAACCAGTTACAAGTGTGCATTCCTGGGGTATATATGAGCTTTATTATGGAGCTACTGACAGTCCCTTTAGGTTCTCTGGTGTATCTTGGAACACAGACAAACTGGAATTTGGTTTTAATAACCTTGTATTTTAAAAATCACTTAACATTAGGATCTTTCAATCACAAAGGGTTGGTCACTTACCCAAGGTTAGTAGATACTCCTGGTCTCACATAAAAAACAATGCTTTTAGCCTATCCTTCTGTAAATTAACTAAAGAGTTAGTAGCTGAGAGAAGAATGGAGAGTAGTTGAGACGTTAAAGCAGGTAAAATACATGACAGGTGAGACAATGTTTCTAAGTCCAAATGATAGATTTGATATTGATTTCTGCTAGTTTTCCATTAATCTCCCAGGGTTGCCCAAAATTTCTTTGGGGACCTTTGTCATGCATCTGGAATGCTCCCTGACAGCATTCAGATAGATCAGAGATGCAGAATCGCTCCCAGAGTTCCAGTCTGACAAATGTTTTCAGCACAGTACAGTTCTTGCTTTGTTGACTAATTACGGACAAAGTTTATGGATTTTCCATTGTTGAATGTAAAGACCCATGCTTTGAAGTTAACATGTTTCCCCATTTACAGTTCTGAGGCTCAGACCCATTGAATAGGCCAGTCAATTACAGGCACATACATAATTCATTTAGTAACAGCAGTGGTTTTGAAAGTATGGGTTGTGACAGAGGTCACCTTGCTCAGCCTCCCAGGGACCATGGTGGCTCTGGTTAGCACTGCCAACCCAGGCCATTAGAAATCCCATAGCAGTGCTACCTGGCTAAAGCTGGGTTGTGTCCTGCTCTTTGAAAACCACTGAGCTAGTCCCAGTACATTCTGACACCACCCTGCACCCTAGAAGTGACCAGCAGCAGGTTCAGCTTTTAGGCAGGGGGGCCCACAGGGGTCTGCACGATCCTCCCACCCCAATCGCCAGCTCCGCACTTCCCTTGGACAGGACTTGGCCAATGGGAGTTGGGGTGGTGGTGCCTGTGGACGAGAGGTGCATGGAACTGCCCGCATACCTCCACCTAGGAGTCAGACTTGCTGCTAGTCGCTTCTGTAGGGCAGTGTCATCTCTGATGCCAGGAGAGGCAGGAAGCCTGCATTAGCCCCTCTGCTGTGCTGCTACCAGGAGCCACTGGAGGTGAGCCCACATTCCAATCCCTTGCCCCAGCCCTAAGCCCCCAAATCAGAGAGCCCCCCGCACCCAAAACCCCTTATCCCTGACCCCAGTCCAGAGCCTGAACCTCCCAGCCTTGACCCCTTGTGCACCTCAACCCCATGCCCTAGCCCAAAAACCCTTTGATATCCTGAGCCTCTCATTCCCACCCCATCCCACAACCCTCACCCTCGCAACACCCCCCTCCCAGCGCCCACACCCCAAACCCCACATTCCCAGCTCCGTTGGAACAGGGGCATCAATAATTGTCTTTAGGTGAGTTAAAGCTGTCCAGAAACAATGCTTCATTCATTTTCATGCAGTTTTACACATTAAGTAATTTAAAAGTTAATAGATTGTGATTAAAGGCTAAATACAGAGGTGGTAGCCACAGGAAACAGGCGAAGACAATAATATTAGCATTTCACTAGCTTTCATGTATTTAGAGCAAAGACATAGACTAAGTACACATAATAGGAAACACCCCCTTTTGTTCTACCTGAACAAGTGAATTGGTACAGTTAGCATTTCCTTGAGGTTGTGAGCTGAGCTGGCTGGCTGTCAGCGCCACAATTTAAATAAGAAAACTACTTTTCGTTATAAATATTTTTTTTAAATTGAGATGTTTTCTAAATATGATTTCTATTTCTGTTCTGAAGGAAAGCTTGTTTGACATGAAGATATGTAATGAGATTTATTGGGAGACTTTGGCATTAGTAAACCTATTATATGTTGGTTCATGTAAATTAAGGTCCTGATCCCGCAAACACTTAAGCACATGTATTGCTTTTTGCCTGTGAGTAATCTTCTGAAGTCCTTAATGTGACTGTTACGTAAATTTAAGCATATATTTACAGGATCAGAGCCTAACTTTGTCCTTCTAAGTTTGCATGATTAATAGCCAAATCCTGCCATCTCTTTTTCTCAGTCAAAACTCTCAGACAACTGGAGTAAGACCATCTCTGCACAGTAACAGGAACTCCTCTACAGACAACCCCCTAACCTGAAGCAAATTCTTTCACACATCATATCTCAGACATACTCACCCAGGAACTGCCCCTGCAATAAATCCAGTTGCCAACGCTGTCCACGCATCTATACAAGTGACTCCATTACAGGACCTAACCACATAAGCCACCACAGAGTCCCATACAACTGCACATCCTTTTCTAATGTGATCTACGCCATCAAGTGCCAGCAGTTCCCCTCTGCCATTATATTGGCTAAACTGGAAAGTCTTTACAACAAAGGATAAATGGACATAAGTTATATATCAGATATGGCACTTGTTAATGGATTTAAAAGTAGCCATTCATCTACAAAAGAATTTCACAAGCCTACTACAGAGAGTGAGGCTACGTCTATACTGTAGCCTTCTTGTGGAAAAGCATATGCAAATGAAGCGTGGCGTGGAATACTGCCATGCTTCATTTGCATAAGTAATCAGCGGGGGGGGGGCAGGTTTGCACAAAATGGCGCCATCTACACTGCTCGTTTTTGTGCGAAAGCCTCTTGCACAAAAACAGCTGCTCATTACTTAGGCAAATGAAGCATGGTGATATTCCACACTGCACTTCATTTGCATATGCTTTTCCACAAGAAAGCTACAGGATTAGACGTAGCCCTAGTGTGGAATTGACCTTCATATGCAAATGTGGCACTTTTCGGCTTAACTAAGACATTAACTGGCCCATTGTAAAACCAATTTTTCTTATATTTAACACATCATTGACATCAAACGCTAAATATGGGACACTTCTGCCCACCCATTTAACCTCATTAGCACCTGCACTAATGTTGACAGGTGTATTTTTCTCCCTTTTTTTCCCCCTGTAATTCTGATAGTTCTCCTTATTTCTCTGCTCAAGCTCATCTGAAGAAGTGGATTTTGCCCACAAAAGCTCATGATACTATATATATTTTTGTTAGTCTCTAATGTGCCACAGGACTGCTCATTGTTTTAAAGTTACAGACTAACACGGCTACCCCATTGAAACTAAATTGGTTGTAATTTTATACTGTAACTTCAGATAAGAATGCCCCATTCCTGTAATTCTTACATTGTTTTTTGTAATCTGTTTTAAAATAGGACACTCTTATTCTGAAATTAGTACGGACACAGACTTGCAGTGAAATAATTAGTTGTGTGAATTACAACTGAGTTTAGTGATTTCAGTTGCAGTTATTGGCATGTGGAAAAGCCCTGAGAAATGCAGGAGATAAATCTATGGATGTGAAATCTGTTGAATCTTTGCAGCTGGCCACGTCATCTTGTAAATTTTAAAAACCCTAATACTTTTGTTTTGTAAAAATAAGTTTTTCACAAAATGAAGTCAAATAGAAATGTTCTCTTGACTGTTTAAAAAAGTTCCCATGGAAGCAGCTATTACATACATTTTTTCCTGCAGAATTTGCAGCTCAAGGGCTGCACTATTTTGATTATGCATGAGAACCAACTTGAAAATTGGATGTAGCTTAAAAGTGAAAATAAAAAAGCCTCCTGAAATTGATCTATTTATCCAATCTGAGAAATGTAATGACCTTTTTGCTAGAAAAGTAATCCTGCATGATTAGTGAAAAAGTAATTTGGATTTTAAAAAAATCTTCTAACATTTAAAAACAGCAGGTAGTCCTTAGCCCTTGTTAGAGACTAACAAAAATACATAGAATCATGAGCTATCATGGGTAAAACCGACTTCATCAGATGAACTGAATTGGAAATCAAGATAGATACTACTTCTGTATATATGTATGTGTATATATATATAAATGATATATATATATGTTAATAAGGCTAATTAAGTGGGCTGAATGTGTCCTGCAAAATGCTTCACCCAGGTAATGTCTTTATTCAAGCCCAGGGTAACAGATTAAAATTAGTAGATTAATTCCAATTCTGCAGACTCTGTAATTGGTTAGTGAATTCCTTTGTAGAGGAATGGCTACTTTTAAATCTATGATTGAGTGACCTGGCAGGTTAAAATGTTCTCCTACAGGTTTCTGTGCTACCATTTCTGATGTCCGATTTCTGTCCATTTATCCTTTTATCATTGAGATATTTAAAGTATAGTTAAAGACACTTTCAACACCACTGTTTTCCTGGAGAAGAAACTGTATTGATGTGTCTTTCTTTTTGCAGGTATTCAGAGACTTGAGCAAATGCTGCAAACTGAAAATGATAAAGCGGTTGAAAACAAAAAATCTGCTGTAGAAGATGAGCTATCTAATTCAGAAAATGAACCTTCAATGATCCACACAAATACACCATTAGATGAAGTTTTAGAAGTATACTCAGATATGAAAAGAAATTGTCTATTAAAATCTTTTATGCAATTGGAGACTAAACAAAACATGATATAGCATGCATGTGTTCACTAAAATTATTACTTGGCTGTAATACTGTAGGACAGCCTGACTTTGCTGTAGCCTGTGGTTACTAATTTTCCAAACTAGACTGCTAGAATATTAGTAATCTGGCCCATATCCTGACTTTAGCCTCCGTTTTGCAAAGCACTAAATCCCACTTTTTAAGCATGCTCTTAAGTACCATTAAAGTCAGTGGGTCTTAAGCATGTATTAAATTCTTTGTTGATTAGGATGGGTTTGCCGATTCAGGCCTTAATGAATCTTGAACATTATTTTATATTAAGGAGTTATATTTATATTTTAAGTAGAAGACCGAAAATGTTGAACTAGCTTATCCTTGTTGTCAAATTTTACTAAATGTATCAGTTGGCAGACAGACCTATATGTAAAATCTCAATGGGAACTTTTTAAAGACATTTAAAGCTCATGTATTGTAATATGCACATCAATGTAAATACTTGTGTGGGACATACTCAGGTTTTTTTTTTGTTTTCTTTCAGATGTGTAAAAATGCTTCTTTGTATATTACAGTTGTCTTTTTTTTGTTGCAAAGACGTCTCTGGATCAGTTTTTCTTACAAAATATAAATACATTTAGAAGCATGTATAGTGTACATTCATTCAACAGGTAGATGTGTGTTGAACCAAAGTTCAGACCTATTTTGTAGATTTAATTCATTGCTTTATTTACTTTAGGAATGGGAAGGGGGAATTGCAATTGCAAAATCAGCAGTCTTCTCTTTTACAGAGAATCTCAATAGGAAAAAAGAACATTTCCATAGCATTTAAAATCCCATTATTGGTGGTGATTGTTATATCACCCATATTTAGGCAACCTTAACTCTTTCCATTATATGATCTTTTCTTTTAGTTGCCTGTCCTCACATTGCTTTTTCCCCACTGATGGCCCACTCCTGCTCTGCATCGTCTTTCCCTCCCCCCACTCCTCTCCGGGTCCCACCACTCACTTGCTCCTTTTGCCCTTCTTCTCATTTGCCTTCACAGTCAGTAAAGAGTGGGAAAGCATAGCTCTCCCACTTTTAAAAGTGGGGGCATGGCTCCCTGACCTTCCTGTACCAGCGCCCATGGCTGGGATAGAGAGGCAGAACAACACTAAGTCCTAGATTCCGAGTTGTAACATTGCTGTGCTACCTATTAGCTGTGAATCCCACTGGCAAATATCTTTTCACTTTCTAGTGGGGGTCAACATGACAGAATTTGGCTTTGGGGCGTATGGGGGGAGTGGCTGCCTTTTAAAAATGGCAGACATTAAATTTTAAGAGCCATTAAAAACATTAAGTTTACAAGGTCAAACAGTAAAAAGTTAAATGTCAGAATGAAGACACCCCCAGCCTTAATGTAAACCCTTGCTTTGTGCATATGCACTATGGATACAGGTTTTATATGATCATATGCTACTTTTCCATAGGTCCGTGCCTCATTCAGTGCATAAGATGAATGGTACTTGCTGCATGGTTTCAACATTGGAGTACTTAACTTTGCATCTTTAATGGTAGGGGGTTTCATATAGTAGTAATATAACTAGGCTTGGAAGGTTTAGAATTTATAATTAAGTGCCAGTAACCGTCAATTTCATGGTATACACAAAAACCACTGAAAAAATGTTTCTATCAATAACTGAAGTTTATAGATGGGAAAAATGAGAAAAATGTTGCTTGAGAACTTAGCAGAGTTTGATTTAAGAGTATTTATTTTATAAATTTTGATGTAATTATAACAGTTTGATGTCTTAACAGTTATAACGCTTTAACTTTTAGAGCTTCGACATCTACTTTTGTTTAAATTGTCTGATTGCCCAACTATTTAAAAACATGTAAAGTACTTAAAACTCATAATTTTGTACAACTGAAAATATGATCAACATTTTAAATGATTTAAAATAAATATTGATATCTGCTGAAATTGTTTTTTAAAAATAAATTCAGCAGATATCAATATTTATTTTAAATCATTTAAAATGTTGATCATATTTTCAGTTGTACAAAATTATGAGTTTTAAGTACTTTACATGTTTTTAAATAGTTGGGCAATCAGACAATTTAAACAAAAGTAGATGTCGAAGCTCTAAAAGTTAAAGCGTTATAACTGTTAAGACATCAAACTGTTATAATTACATCAAAATTTATAAAATAAATACTCTTAAATCAAACTCTGCTAAGTTCTCAAGCAACATTTTTCTCATTTTTCCCATCTATAAACTTCAGTTATTGATAGAAACATTTTTTCAGTGGTTTTTGTGTATACCATGAAATTGACGGTTACTGGCACTTAATTATAAATTCTAAACCTTCCAAGCCTAGTTATATTACTACTATATGAAACCCCCTACCATTAAAGATGCAAAGTTAAGTACTCCAATGTTGAAACCATGCAGCAAGTACCATTCATCTTATGCACTGAATGAGGCACGGACCTATGGAAAAGTAGCATATGATCATATAAAACCTGTATCCATAGTGCATATGCACAAAGCAAGGGTTTACATTAAGGCTGGGGGTGTCTTCATTCTGACATTTAACTTTTTACTGTTTGACCTTGTAAACTTAATGTTTTTAATGGCTCTTAAAATTTAATGTCTGCCATTTTTAAAAGGCAGCCACTCCCCCCATACGCCCCAAAGCCAAATTCTGTCATGTTGACCCCCACTAGAAAGTGAAAAGATATTTGCCAGTGGGATTCACAGCTAATAGGTAGCACAGCAATGTTACAACTCGGAATCTAGGACTTAGTGTTGTTCTGCCTCTCTATCCCAGCCATGGGCGCTGGTTATAACTAAATATAATGTTGCAGATCAATTTTCAACAAATGATTCCTTCAAATCCTTCAGGATTGCAGTTTTAAACATTTTTAGCTAGGCAATAAATTAATTTACTTTTAATTTAAAGGAATACTTATGTCTTATTTAATTGGATAGGCTCTCCAAGAGCTCTCTAGTTGAATAGCTGAATTAAATTTCTCATTCATAGGTGTCACTAGTTTTTCATGCATATATTTGCCCAGCAGAGGGGTTTATTAATAATCTTCAAATCTCATAAGTTTGGAAGAGACCTCAGGAGGTCAAGTCCAACTCCCTAGTAAAAGCAGGACCAATCTTAACTAAATCATTCCCCCCCAAAAATCATCCCAGACAGGGCTAGGGATGGAGATTCCACCACTTCCCTAGATAACCCACTCCAATGCTTCACCACCCTCCTAGTGAAATAGTATTTCCTAATATCCAGTGTAGACTTCCCCACTGAAGCTTGAGACCATTGCTCCTTTTCCTGCTCTCTTGTCACCACTGAGAACAGCTTCTTTCCATCCTCTGTGGAATGCCCTCATTCAGGTAGTTGAAGGCTGCTATTAAATCCCCCCTCACTGTTTTTATCTGTAAACTAAATAAGCCCAAATCCCTCAGACTCGCCTCATAAGTCATGTGCTCCAGCCCCCTAATTTTGATGCCCTCTCCTGGACTCTCTCCAGGGTGTACATCCTTTCTGAAATAGGGGAGGGGGGGGGCCCAGAATTGCATGCAATACTCCAGATGTGGCCTCACCAATGCCAAATAAAGGGGAATAATCACTTCCCTATGTCTGCAAGCAATTCACTAAATCTTCCACTAAATAGAAATATAACATTTAAAAATATCAGGAAGGTAACGTATCCTGTATCATCCTGCGTTGCTAGGAGATGGGATAAATAACTTTTTTTAGAACCAACAGTCATCAGATGAACCTGGGGTAGCTGGTGTAAGATGTTTCCATTACATTTGCTTTCCCAGATACCCTAGTATATGACCAGAGACTTGGCAAATGACTTACTCAACTCTTCCCAAAGGTCTCTGCCATGACAATTAAATAGTTTGAAGGAGATAGTTCCCTTGGGAGCCTCTAGGATACACATTTCTCATTTTCAGGCTTGCTGTTTCTACAGTGGAATTTCCTCTATCTTGTAGCTTCAGGAGGTAAGGATTAGCCTTGCCTGACTAGACAAGGCATGATGAACTGCACCAGGTGCTTCAGAGGAAGGAGAACCCTATTGTATGCAAATGTGGTATATTTTTCCCACCCTATGTCTCCACCTGGTCTTTAATAGTTTGAGGTTAGGTCAGGGGTGGGCAATAATTTTTGATTGGGGGCTATTCCAAGGTTTTGAAAAGTGGTCAAGGGCTGCACTTTCCTTGGAGGTGTGGGGTCTTGGATGGAGCAGAAGGGTGCACAGGACTGGGGTGCAGGAGATGCTGTGAGGTCTGAGAGGGAGTTTGGATGGGGGTTTGTGACCTGGGGCAAGAGATTTGGGTGAAAGGTCAGGCTGGAGGTATAGATTCAAGAGAGGATTCTGGCCTAGGGGAGGGGTGTAAAGGGGTACAAGATCTGGGAGGGAGTTTGCAACCTGGGCAGGGGGGTACAGAGGACTCGAATGGTGACCTGGGTGTAGGAGTTGGGTTGCAGGAGGGGCAGAGGTACCAGAGGCAGGCTCTGATTGGGAGGTGCTTACCTAAGCATCTCCTGGCCAGCAACCCTGCAGCACTTCCTAGGCAGGCTGGGTTCCCTGTCTGCTGCAGCCCCAGACTGTTTAAAACTACAGGTGGCTCCCAACTGCAGGAGGAGGAAGAGAGGCTTATGTAACTGCCACCAGGCAGATTTGAACCTGGGAGCTCTGGAGCTTCATGTAGGAACCACTACAGCTTGAGCTAAAAGCTACCTAGCTCTCTGCTTAGTCTGTAGAACTCACTTGTTCTTATCTCTTGCTGTAAGTGGTCTAAGCAGCACTACCTGGGAAAGTGAACCATACCCACTAGGTGTGGGGGTTACACTTGCATTGCCCTATCCCTCAGGCCAGTCTCTCAGCTACTATTGGCTGGTTGTTTTCAGCCAATAGAAGCTGAGAGATTGGCTGGGGTCAGTTCCTATTGGCCGGTTGTTTCCAGTGAATAGGAGTTGAGGATTGGGTTCAGAGTGATCACCCAAACTCTTCCCCTCCCTCCAGAGCACAGAGCCACATGGAGCAGCCTTGTGCTTTAATCACTGGCTGTTGCATGCCTGAGGGACTGGATATCCGTGGACTGGATCCATTGGCTTGGTGGACTGGATCCAGCCTGTCAGAGGTATTTTGGCCATCCCTGGGTTAGGTTAAGCCCTGAAGCATGAGTTTCAGTCACTCTTCCAAATTGATTCTAACAACTCTATGTATTATTGATATTATATAACTAGCCAAGCCCTTTATGAATCTTGTTTAATTCTTAGCCTTAATGTCTTCCTGTGGTAGTGACTTCTACAGTACAATCAGCATTGTTTCTTTGGCCCAGGTAGGGATCTTAAGGGCAGAAGTAGTTTGCTCTACAGTCTGTAACAACTGTTCAGCCTCCCCTACCTCACAGACATAAAGACAAAAGGGTACATCCACAGAGGGATTTAGATGCCCAAATCCAAAATTTAGATCCTCCAAACCCTCACTCTAATTCTATAAGTGGTTAAGTCTGTCAGTGGACACCTACAAAGCCACCGAAGTCCTCATGCCACAAGTAACTTGCCATCAAACCAGCTATTGTCTGTCTTTCCTGTGGGACCAGATATAATAAGTGTTCTCAGAATCTGTCTTATCAGAATGGGTCCTGCACAAAATACAGTTGTGATGTTATTTTCTTGCATCATGTAACCCAGTTAGAGCACTGTGAAAACAGTTACCCTTGTGTCCACACACAATACACTACTGTAATAGTCTTTATACAAAATATGCCAGATGACACCTATTATTTGTCATGATAAAATATGTGGCAACGTTGTATGTAAGGTTATGAGATTCCCCTGTATGGTAACTTCATTGGCAAACAGGTCTGTCTCAGAGGAATGTATATTCTATTTAATTTGCATTTAAGCAGTAAACAAAGTCCTCAAGCAAGAAGGGATACAATAGAAGTTCCAATGGGTGAGAAAACCAGCCAGGGATATTGTTTCCTATAGACTTTTTGTCTCCAGGCTCTCAACTGGAACTATTTTCCAAGAAAACTGACACTGTATAAAGAAAAAATGTGAGACAAAGACCCCCAAGGCTCCCACCTTCTTTCTGTCTCTCTCTGTTCATTGATTCACTACACCAGAAAGAACAAAGGAAGTAGCCATTGAATTAGAGAAGGAGTTCTGATCTAAAAAGCTTTGCTTTGAATTTAACATAGTTGGTTAAATTAGACACCAGTTACATTTTGGGGTTTTTTTTTTTCTTGTAACCATTTCTGACTTCTGTGCTTCATTACTTGTGCTCACTTAAAATTCATCTCTTTGTAGTTAATAAACCTGTTCTATTGTTTTGCCTAATCCAGGGGAACCGACAGACTGGCCAGGTCTCTGGCCAAGGTGGGGGAGTGGTTCTGTGTTCTTGGAAGTGGGGGGAATGGGGCAGCCAGCATTGGTTGGGGCTCTGGCCATCACTTCTTCAGCTATCTTGGCCCTTTGAAACTTCTGGGACCTGAGGCAATTGTCCCTTTACCACCACCCCTCCTGTTGGTGGGCCTGGTCTAATCCAGTGTGTTTGAATTGAAGTGTACTGTCCAGGAGAGAGCTGGGAAGTACAGGCATACGTTTCTGGGGGGAAATCTAGGACTGAAGGGTGTGTTAGGGTCATTCTGCAGCATAACCAAAGATGGGAACAGCCACGGTGTGGCTGGCTGCAGCACATACACCGCTGGGAGTGACTTGCATGCTGGAGGCTGTTTGTGAGCCATTCAGACTAGGGATGTAAGTGATTAATCAACTATCAGCAAAACAGTTACCCAGCAAAGCAAAAGCTTATTGGATAGTTGATTAGTCCCTTGACTAGTCCCCCCCCCCCACCTCTATCAGAGCAGCAAAGGGATGGAGCAGGAGCTGGAGAGTTCTCCCCAGCACCGACTAGAAAGCAGGTTCCCCCTAGCACTGTCAGCACGGTAGTGATAGTGGGGACTGGGCACAAGCCAGGAATCGGCTGATTCCCAGCTCACACCCAGTCCCAGGGGCTGCGTCTCTGCTTTTTAAATGTAGTATGAGCCTGCTGGCCCTTAATATATTTACAAATCAGAAATACTGTGGGGGGCGCCCAGCATGAGCTGGGACAGTTGATTCCAACTTTTAAAGTTTAAGGCTGGTGCACAGCGGGGGGACCCGGCGCAAGCCAGGAATCAGCTGGCCTAGCTCATGCCGGGTCCCCCTCACAGCGCTTTAGCTTTTTTAATGTAGTAAGAGCTAGTAGGCTCTTAATACATTTAAAAAGCAGAGCCGCAGTGGGGTTAGCTCCCGGCCCCACTTATGGACTAGCAGCTCCCCCATTTATCAACTAGTTGATGGAAAATGAAATGTAACATCCCTAGTTGAGATAGGAGAGGCTACAGCAGCAAAGCATTATAAAAGACCTCCCACTCTAGAGTGCAGGGGTGAGACAGCAACTCATTAGTCTGGATGGGTCACACTCATTCAGTTTAGGAGCCGTGGGTTCTACGTGCAGGATAGCTACAAGTTAGGCATTGCATTGCTGAGTCCAAGTCCCCAAAGCCTTGTGTGCAGCAGCCATGCAGCTGTGGTAGTCTTGGGACTTCTGTTCTACACACAAAGGGCCAGGAAGACACTCACCTCTTAATATTGGCTCCCTACTGAGCAGTGCAGTTATTGGTCAATGTCTTCATTTCCAAAGCTGCGCTCAAAAACAGTCCTGGCTTATCTGAGAGATCACCTTTGATCAGGACCACAATTTACTGCAACTGCTGCCTTTCGCTGAGCAACGGCATTGTAAACCAGTAGAGTTATGCTTGTAGCCAAGATAGATGGGTCTTTCACAGGAGTCTAACCGTATCTGTAGGACTCACTATCAGGTGAAATAAAAATGATTCTTAACCTTACTGAATCAAATGCAAAGGCCATCTTTTTACCCAACCTTTCCTATAAGAGTCCCCTCATTCTCTCCCATTCGTCTAAGTAAAACAAGCAACTCCAAATCCTGTCTCGAGTTGGCAGGGAAAGGTAAGAGAGCAAGTAGTGTCATCTTTTCCCCTCATGACTAGTGCTCATACAAGTATTTGGACAAGTCATTACCAACGTGGGTCAGATTTGGACTAGTGATTTAATGCTGCTTTTTTGTTGGTATTGTAGCTTTCACCTTGGTAACGACTAGCCACAGCCCAGATATCAGATATACAAACTTTGTACCTGAAGCTGATAGGAAACAAGGAAGTAACTGCTTTCACTTTTAATTTGGTGAATGCATTTTCAGCTTTTGCTGACTGCCTTTGCTAGTTTTATGTGCAAATTTCTCAAAAAAAGGGTCTTTTTAATATTATCTAATGTTGCAGCAATCTGAAAATTAAGCTACTTAGAAACAAAATTAAAGAAATTGGGTGCAGTGAAAAGACAATTATTAGCTCTATATGCTAGCGCAGTGTAGCTCCTTTTACTAGCTCAGTCTAGGTTTATCTTACACTCCAAACAAAATAGCACAGTGGTCTAATGATGAAGAAAAACAGGTAAGTGTAATAGTAATCTTTAATCCAACAACTGATAATCATGTTTCGTTGGGCTTCAGTTATGTAGTGCTGAAAATATAATTGACTGGAAAAACACTAATGATGTGATTATTTTACATGGATCTATTATACAGTTGTATAAAGTGATGTATTTTTCACATTAACTAATTACTGGTGAGTTCATAGTTGTGTTTGAGCCAAAGCTATTCCATCATAGAGATCTTGTTTTTTAAAAAAATATTAGATTAAGTAAGGGTTTCTGGGTCATGCACTAAGGTATTTTTAAATATTGTTGTTGTGAGGATAATGGCTACTAATAGTTCTTTCCCCAGCACTCTTCTAGGGGCAGAAAATACTCAAGAGAAGGAAAGAACAATGGAGGCGGAGGTCAAACATCGTTCATCAAGTCAAAACAAACAAAACATTGAAATGGCAAATGTAGATTTCCCGCCAGCCCGACACAACGAAAAAAGGCTTTCTAATAAGGAAGCCCAGAAGAGCAGTTCGGTGCTAAACCAGCACAATAACAATGATGAGTGGCAATGTCCAGATTGTTCACAGAAAGGTAAGTGAAATTGCTTAGAATGTTACTTTTCTGGCTGAATCCTTACTGATTGAAAGGATATTGGGCTTTTGTTCTTAATTGTTTCATAAAGTTCAGGGTTTACATACAGGAAATAAGGAATCCAAGTTCTGCTTACATTGTTGAGATTCTGATTCCCTTGCTTACACTGAATAGAATCAAAAGCTTCAGAGGGGTAGCCAAGTTAGTCTGTAACAGGAAAAACTTAAAAAACAACAAATAGTCTAGCAGCACCTTAAAGGCTAACAAAACATGTAGATGGTATCATGAGCTTTCATGGGCACAACACACTTCTTCAGATGACCAGACTATTAAAAGGTCCAGATCCAAGAATAAATAAGGGAAGAAGGGTGATGAGCCCTCCCCCCTCCTTTCTTTATTTATTCTTGGATCTGGACCTCCAACACTCCAGTCATCTGAAGAAGTGTGTTGTGCCCATGAAAGCTCATGATACCATCTACATGTTTTGTTAGTCTATAAGGAGCTACTAGACTATTTGTTGTTTTTTAATTTTTTACTGAATAGAATGTTATTGCACGTGTGGTCCCACTTAATTTTTGATAGGATGGGTGAGTGGGTGAGAAATTTCTATGCCTGGGTTCACAAGTGCAGAGTAAACATTTTCAAGGTTATAAAGCAAATCTTAATTGGTTCCATAAAGCATGGAATTCAGTGTTTGCAAATGAGAGTAACACATGCAGCAACTTACAAGCATTTCATAGACTCTAAACACTAAATACATTCTCTTAAGACTAATACCTATTTGGAACAAAACTAACATATAGGTGAGCTCATTTGTTTTCCATCAATGAGTTTTTCAGCTCTTAACTAATGTCTACTGTGTATGTCAGAACTGACACTTGGTTTACAGTCACTGCAGCCCACAGAGCTCCGAAGATCATCTGTGAAACTGAGGAGAATCTGGTGAGCTTGCCGACTGCTGCAGTTTAAGAAAGATCTGAGCAGCAGCAGAGGTAGCTCAAAGGAGAACCTAGCTCACCAAAGCTGTTGGCAGATGTATAGTCAGAAGACAGTGGCGCATTGGTTACCCTCAGTTTCTGCTTGGAAGGTTTTCTTTGCAACCGTGAGGTCAGGAGATTTTTTTTAATGAAAGCCTAGATTCTGCACAGTTTGATAGTACTTGTCCAGGAAAGATTCCTACTCCCTCCTGGACAAGTAGATTTTCAAACTATTTACATTTGTAAAATATTTGAATACGTGCAGATAGCACCCTCACTTCTGTTTAGAATGACCCATTCGTCCTGTTTTATTCTCTTCTTCCACTTCTTGGGCTTTTCTGCTTAGTCTGTGCCGGATGGGCAATAATTTTAGGCAGGGGGCCATGTCAGAAACTTTTTAAGTGGCCCTGGACTGCCCCGGAAGGAGCGGGGTCTTGGGCAGAAGGGGCGGGGCCAGGATACTTCCCTGCTTCCCTGCCCACAGACCCTGATTGGCCTGGGGGTGGTCGGAGCGTGTGAGGTCTTTTCCTCCTGCCCTCAGAGAGAACCGCCAGCTGTTCTGTACAGCTGGCAGTTCCTTGTAGGCACCCGCACTCCTAGCGGTGGGAGGAGACTTTACACTCTCCTCCTATCCCCAGGTCCCTCCACCCCCAGGTCAATCAGGGCTTGGGGGGAGGGGAGCACCCAGAGTCTTACGCTCCCTGCCTCTGCCCTGCAAAGGGGTGCCGCACATAGAGTCAGCCACTAGCTGAGCAGCAGCTGGTGTTTGACTCTAAGAACCGCATGCCCCTTGCAGTGTGGGAGGAGACTTCATGTGCTCCCTGCCCCTACCCTACAAGGGGGCAACGCGCTTAGAGACAATCGCCAGCTGCTTAGCTAGTGGTTGACTCTAAGCACCACGTGCCCCTTACGGGGTGGGGAAGGGGGAGAGGAGACTTTTGCCCACCCCTGGTCTATGCAGCGATTACACCTTTGTTACTCCCCTCTTGTAGGGGAATAATTTGTGAATGGGCTTGCCCCTAAACCAAATACTCCCACTATACAACTTTCTCCCTTTCTAGGGATGTTAAATATTGGTTAATTGAATAGTCAGTTAACCTCATGTATTCTTATTGGTTGCTCAACTATTCTATAGATCCTGGGGGTGAGCCTGGCAGCCAGTGCACTCCAGCCCCACTCCTGTGGAGGCCCCTGACACTCTGTGCTGCTGCCTCTGTATCAGAAACTGGCCAGGCAGGATCTGGTCCACAAGGGAGCTAGTTTAACAACCAGCTCCCTTCATGGACTGGCTGCCTGGCTCCTTGCACTGCTGCCTCTGATACAGAGGCAGCAACATGGGGTGACAGCAGCAGCCCCTGTCCGGGGTGTGAGGGGGGGGCAAGGTCCAGGACCTAGCGCAAGGCAGACCTGAACTAGGCTTCCTGTTCAACTGGCTCCTAATACAATTTAAATGCAGAGCTGCAGTGGGGGTAGGTCCCAGACTCAGCGTGAGCCAGGACTGAGCTGAGTTTCTGTCCACCCTGCTAAATAATTTATTGGTGGGAGGAGGGGATTAGTAATCTATAGCATTAACCTATAAGCATTTGCTAATCAATTAATTGACTATAATATTACATCCCTATCTCTTTCCCAAATCCACTTGTCAAGGCTAATGTAGGAAGAATGAAATCAATCTTTCCACAATCCATTGCGGTAGTATAGAAACTCGAGATGATCTTTTAGAAATCTCATCCTGCCCATTGGATCTGTGATTTTATTTCAACCAAATTCCTTCCTATGGCTTTGATACCACTCTTGGGAGTGCATGATCATAGCACTTCAAGATGAAATAATGCTTGATTTTTGAATGGCCAGCAGCAAGTCACTGCATGAACAAGCTGCTTCACTGGGATGCTGCAATCCTTTGCCACTTTATGTCAGATATGCATGTTCAGTGCGCCTATGCTCAAAAGCCTCCAGAAAAGAAATTATTCAGCCAGAGATGGCAGACTTCAAAATCCCGAACAGTTATCTGCATTTTCTTGTCACAAATTAGGATATTAGGACAGTTTCATCTGTGCAGTGTGTCATCTGACAGGCTGGTTTTGCCTCCAACACCAAACTATATTTCAGTGTCCTTTATGGGAAAAAGTGGAGGTAAATGTAATAATATTTTTTTTATTTAGTCACTGTAAATAATGGGTAAATCTTACTTGTAGTGTAACTCCATTGTGTTAAACCAAGGATGATTTTCTCCCAGTATCTGTCCATTGTTTGAATTGGAAATACATGTAGATTCCACTTGAATCTCCCCATCCTAAATTTTTGAAACTGCAGAAAGAAGACTGCAAGATATGAAGAAAAACCAACTATCTAATATTAACGCTAAAGAAGGAGAGCAGATGCGAGAGAGAGAGAGCCAGCATTCCCTAGCAGCCCCACCTAGCTACAATACAGATTCCCGGATGAGCAGTCCAAAGACAAAACCCCAACCTATAGGAGTCACATTGAAAAAATCAGATGATCTTCATGCAGGTAAGTGGGGGAATGCCTAAACACACCTTCCTGCCATGAGACATATCTGGGCTGTAGATCTGGGGGGCTCACACAAGGAAGGAGGTGGGACAGGTGGTTATTCTTGACAGTGGTTGTGCTATGGTTCACACCAGCACAACCACCTTCCAGCTTTAAAACTTGGTGTGTTTGCGCAGTTTTAATGAGGGTTTTCTAAAACGCATCCTCAGAACAGTATCGAAACAGAAGGGCAGAGTACCAGCAAAGTAGCTGTGTATGTGTCATTTGCCTCCCCTCCTAAGAAGCTTGGCTTTGGAGGAGGACTGAGGAAACTTCAGACATCAATTCGGCCAGGCACAAATGAGAATATGACACTAATATGTGTATCAGGCCAGGGAAGGGATCTAACAGAGGCAGTCTGTCCCATTTAAGGGACAGCTTACCCCTATTCCTTTAAGGGCAGGAGACAGGGAGCATCAAACAGCCTGCCTGCCTACTATGTTTCTAATATTTACTTCTGGTGCATCCTCTTCTGGGAGGACTGGGGAAAGCTTTTCCTTGGTCTGGATTTTGTCATCCTGCCTGCTTACACCAAGTGGGCATCTTCTCTATACCTCTGAGTACAATTGTGACAAGCCCTTAACCATCTGTACTAAGGATGTTAAACAGCGACTTACCGACTAATCAAATAGTCGATGCATTTTGCATTGATTATTCAACTAGTCGATACAGTGACTCCTCCTTTAGAGTGTAGCAACAGCTGATCCTGGGCTCCATACAGCACTGCCGCTTTGAAACACCGTGGGGAGCCTGACGCCAGGCTCCCTGTGGCATTTCAAAGCAGCAGCACCGTGTGCAGCACAGTGTCAGCAGGGGAGTCACCAGCTGATCCTGGGCACCACATGGTGCTGCTGTTTTGAAATGCTGCGTGCAGCCTGCGGACACCCCAGCTGGCCCCGGGCTGCACGCAGTATTTCAAAGCAGCAGCACTGCGTGGAACCCAGGGTCTGGCCCAAGGCTTCAAGCATCGCTGCTGCTTTGAAGTAACCCTTCTTCCCCTCCTTGCTGCCTCTTTCTGATAGTCGACTAGCATGCCAACTATCTGATAAGCATTTGCTTATCGGATAGTCAACTAGTCCTTCACATCCCTAATCTGTACATGGAGGCATAGCATGCAAGTCACAGGAGGTGATAGTACGGCACTGTGTGGTGCTGGTTATGTGTGAGCTGGAGTGCTGTGTCCAGTTTTGGTCACCAGTGTTCAGAAAGGATGTAGAGAAACTGGGCAGGATCCAGAGGTGAGTGATAAAGATGATCAGAGGAAATGGAACACAAGCCCTGTGAGCAAAGGCTAAAGGAACTGGGCATGTTTAGTTTGGAAAAGAAGAGATTAAGGGGGGAAATGATAGTAGCCTGCGAATACTTGAAAGAGTAAACAATATGGCTGTGTCTACATTGGCAAGATTTTACGCAAAAGCTTGCCACCTGTCTACACTGGCCACGAGTATTTGCACAAGAACACTGACGTTCTAATGTACGAAATCAGTGCTTCTTGCACAAATACTCTGACGCTCCCGCTCAAGGATAAGCCCTCTTGCACAAGTATTCTTGCACAAGAGGCCAGTGTAGACAGGCAACGTTAATTTCTTGCGCAAGAAAGCCCGATGGCTAAAATGGCCATCGGAGCTTACTTGCGCAAGAGAGCGTCTACAGTGGCACGGATGCTTTTGCGCAAAAGCACATGCCAGTGTAGACGCTTTCTTGTGCAAATACTTTTAATGGAAAAACTCTTCCATTAAAAGTATTTGCACAAAATCATGCCAGTGTAGACGCAGCCTATGGGAAAAAGTTGTTCTGTCTTGTCATGGAGGGCAGGACAAGAGGCAATGGGTTCAAACAACAGCACAGCAGATGTAGATTAATTTTCAGGGGGAAAAAAATCCTACCTGTAAGAACAGAAGGATAATGAAACAGACTTTTCAAAAAAAGTCACTGGCTAGCCATCTATCTTGAACGGTTTACATACAACATCTTGGCAGGGAGTTAGACTAGATGACCTCTGCAAGCCTTTCTAACCCTATGGTTCTATGCTACTCCCTTCTTCTTCCATCTTAAAAACACTCAGGCTAGGGTCTGCACTACCATGTATGTCAGTATAATAACTTACAGTGATCAGGGATGTGAATAAGCCACCCCTCTGAGCAACATAAGTTACACTGATCTAAAATTTGGTGTGAACAATGCTCTGTCAGCACAAGAGTTTCTCCCAATGACATAGCTACTGCCCCTCATTAGAGGCGGATTAATTAAATCTTTCCCCGTCACTATGGCTACAGTATAGAGTTTACAATGGAATAACAATTCAGTTATAGAATTAAAAATAATCTCCCTAAAGATGTAAGCATAAACATGGGTGAAGACATATGGGGAAATAAGGAGGAGAGGACAAAAAAATAAGGTAATACAATAATGGTGTACCTGTCCTGAATATTTCCTGAGTATTTTTTTTAATGTTACTACTGCTTAGGGGAAAGATAATGATAATATACTGTGTAGGCCAAACTAAAGACAAATGTTTCAAAGCAGGGCTTTAAAGAAGAGCTATTCCAGCTAGACCTTTAAGAAAAATTGATACTTTGTACTTGCACAGTGCTTTTCATCCAAAGATCACTAAGAACTCGAATCCAGCTTTTGTTCTTATTCTACCTCCGAATTTAATATAATATTTATAGTGTGGTATTTAATAAAGGGAAGCCTTTTCCTCTGCATTCCAGTCTGTGAAAGTAAATATTTCTAATATGTACTTGACAAAGATGGTAACGACAACTAAAATTGCAAACGCCGATTACTTTTATGAAAGATGTTGACACCTAGATTTTGCTCACCATAACAACTCAAATATATATGTATACATCATTTGTGTGTACAATCAGGTAGCCAGATGTCTAATTTTCAGTCAGACAGATGTTTAATCTGTTGTTTACTCAAATTTCAGGCACTGGGAAGTTTGGCTAAGTAAGGACTATATAGGATTTGGCAGTATTATACCAAATAGCAAGCCTAAGTAATTTAGTTTTCAGAATCATCCTAATTAAATTTGTATTAGAATTCTAAGGAATAAATATAACTATATTTAATTATTATTATTTACTACTACTACTTTTTAAAAGATCGAATATAATCTGTGTAAATCAGCTAATAGTTTCTAGTAAATCAGTAACCATAGATTGGAGATTTCTAATGAGCATGACCTTAGATCAAAGTCTTTGTTTTTTATATCTTGTACAATCTACCTTTGTGCGCTGAATTCATAAAATAAAAAGGGCAAGCACAGCCAGTATTCATTACACACAATTACATTTCCGTTTTAAGGTAAAAGACAAAGGGTAGCTTACAAATCTCAAATGTCATTATACTACTCTCAGCAGTAATGGTTTTGTTACAAAACATCTGCAGGCCAGATATCTGCAAAATGCTACTTGTTTCCTGTTAAGCACAGTCTCAACACCCACTGAAATTAGTAAGAGCCAAATCCAAGTGAATCTCTTTATCTAAAAGAAGCAGGAAAATGCAACTGTCTGGTCAGTTAAGTCCTGTGGGACTTGTACAAAAAGCGCTGAATTAGACTAAATTAGAATAAATGTATTCTTGCTTTAGGTTCCTCCCACAAGAGGAATAAAAAGGAAACAATGCACATGAGAAAATGCCTATTGGTCAACAGTGCTTTTACTGAGTTTGTATTCACAGGGATGTGAGGGGAAAACAAGTGAAATTACTTTCCCTCTGATATCAGTGAGACCTCAACTGGAGAGCTGTATTCACTGAGATACAGACAGATTTCTGTCAGGACACATCTACACTAGGAAATTATTTCAAAATAACTGCATTTGAAATAATTCCCAAAATGACTATTTAGAAATAAGCTTATTCCCCGGGAAAGCAGGAATACAGATTTTGAAATAACTAGCCCCTTATTTCAAAATAACAAGCTTGGTAGTGTGGACACTCTGTTTGTTATTTCAAAATAGGGGCAGTTATTTTGAAATAGCACCTTAGTATAGACCAGGGCTCAGAGTGTTCTAACACAAATTATAAATAGTACAGGGACAGGTACACACGTGGAAAGAAATGGGCATGTTCAGACAGGAAGAAATATGGCTGCCAACAGGAAAGAAACATAAGAATCCTGGCCAGTCCTGCCATCCATAGTTTTAACAGCTTCAGCAAGGGCATGTCTGAGTTGGGTGTGGGAAAGAGCATCTACCTATCTCCTTTTTCCTGTCCACCAGCACAACTGTGCTTCTAGGAGTGTTTGCTTTAGGTAGCAAGGAAGAATTCACACACATACCCTTTAGAGCACAGAATGTCTCCAGCCTTCTCCAGGTCTCTTTTGTGGCTAACAAGAGGCATAACCGTATTTTGGGCCAAGATAACTCAGGGAGCTGATTATGGACTGAACAGCAAAGTTAGACATAATATAAAAACAAAACAGAAAGCTATAAATAGGTGTGCACTTTAGAACGATATGAACCAATTGGAGAGAGTCCAGAGGAGAGCAACGATGATAAAATAATAAAATCAAAACAAAAAATGATAAAAACAAAACCTGACATGAGGAAAAAAATTTCAAAATGGGGCATGGCTAGATTCAAAAAAATAAGATGTAGATGGGTACGGAACCTGTTGACAGTTCGCACATATGTTAAGGGCTGTTGTAAAATCATCTTTCTTGTTCTCCATGTACACTGAAGATAGAGCAAGAAACAAAGTTCTTAATCTGCAGCAGCGGATTTTAGGGTATGTATTAGGAAAACCTATTTAAAGGAATAGGTAAGTGCAGAAATAGGCTTTCCAGGGAGGCTCTGGAATACTCATCACTGGAGGTTTATAAGAACAAACTGGCAAACACCTCTCAGGGATGGTCTAGGTATACTAGACCTTGCCTCAGCACAGGGGGCTGGACTTCAGGGTCCCTTCCAGTCCTATAGTTCTATGATACAGCAGCTATCAAGTAAGCACTGGCTAGGTCACCCGACATACTTATAATAAAACCCCACCCAGAGCTAAAACCACATACATGTCTGTGAATGCGCATGCATACATCTGCAAAAACACACTCACCCCTATCAGGGTATATATGGCCCAGATCATAGAATCATAGAACCATAGAGCTGGAAAAGACCTCAGAGGGTCATCAAGTCCAGCCCCCTCCTCTAGGCAGGACCAATCCCAACTAAATCAACCCAGCTAGGGCTTTGTCAAGCCGAGACTTAAACACCTCTAGGGAAGGAGACTCCACTACTTCCCTAGATAACCCGTTCACCACTCTCCTAGGCTACGTCTAGACTGGCCCCTTCTCTGGAAACGTCATGCAAAGCAGGTAAGTCAGAATAGGGAAATCCGCGGGAAATTCCTACTTTCAGGTAGGAATAAGAGATCCTCCGGAAAAGGGCTTTATTCCGGAGGATCACGCCAGTCTAGACGCTTTTTTCCGGCTTTTCCCCAAGCCGGAAAAAAAGCAGCGGACATGTTTATTTAAATCCCGCGGGGGATATTTAAATCTCCCACGGATTTCCCTATTCCAAAGTTGGAAATTAGCATGGCTATTTCATAATAGGGGCCAGTCTAGACGTAGCCCTAGTGAAATAGTTTTTCCTAATATCCAACCTGGACCTCTTCCACCTCAACTTGAGACCATTGTTCCTTGTTCTGCAATTCATCACTACTAAGAACAGCCTCTCTCCATCCTCTTTGGAACCTTCCTTCAGGAAGTTGAAGGCTGCTATCAAATCCCCCCTCACTATTCGCTTCTGCAGACTAAACAGACCCAACTCCCTCAGCCTCTCCTCATAGGTCATATGCTCCAGCCCCCTAATCATTTTGGTTGCCCTCCACTGGACCCTCTCCAATGCGTCCACATCCTTTTTGTAGTGGGGAGCACAGAACTGGACACAATACTCTAGATGTAGCTTCACCACAGCCGAATAAAGGGCAATAATGACATCTCTGGATCTGCTGCCAATGCTCCTCTTAATGCAACCTAATGTGCCATTAGTCTTCTTGGCTACAAGGGCACACTGTTGACTCATATCCAGCTTCTCATCCACTGTAACCCTAAGGTCCTTTTCTGCAGACCTACTATTTAGCTGGTTGGTCCCCAGCCTGTAACAATGCTTGGGATTCTTCCGTCCCAAGTGCAGGACTCTGTACTTGTCCTTGCTGAACCTCATCAGATTACTTGTGGCCCAATCCTCCAATTTGTCTAAGTCACTCTGGACCCTATCTCTACCCTCAAGCGTATTTACCTCTCCCCCTAGCTTAGTGTCATCTGCAAACTTGCTGAGGGTGCAATCCATCCCGTCATCCAGGTCATTAATAAAGATATTGAACAAAACTGCTCCTAGAACTGAACCTTGGGGCACTCTGCTAGAAACAGACCACCATCCTGACATCGAGCCGTTGATCACTACTCGGCCTTCTAACCAGCTTTCTATCCATCTTACCATCCATTTATCCAATCCACATGCCCTTAACTTGCTGGCAAGAATATTGTGGGAGACTGTATCAAAAGCCTTGCTAAAGTCAAGATATATCACATCCACTGACTTTCCCTTGTCCACGGAGCCAGTTACCACATCATAGAAGCTAAGCAGATTGGTGAGGCACGACTTGTCCTTTGTGAATCCATGCTGACTATTCCTAATCACTTTTCTCGCTTCCAAGTGCCTCAAAATAGATTCCTTAAGGATCCCTTCCATGATTTTTCCAGGAACTGAGGTAAGACTGACCGGCCTATAGTTCCCTGGATTGTCCTTCTTCCCTATTTTGAAGATGGGCACTTCATTTGCTTTTTTCCAATCATCCGGGATCTCTCCTGATCTCCACAACTTTTCAAAGATAATGGCCAAAGGCTCCTCAATTACATTTGCCAACTCCCTCAGTACCCTCAGATGCATTAAGTCCGGACCCATGGATTTGTGTATGTTTAGCTTTTCTAAATAGTTCCTAACCTGTTTACCCACCAAGGGCTGTCCATCTTCATCCCATCTTGCATCACTTAGCACATTAGTCCGGGAGCTGACCTTGTCCGTGAATACAAGGCAAAGAAAGCATTGAGTACTTCAGCTTTCCCCACATCAAGACTAGATGCCTAGTCTTCCCATAGTTCCTTCCATCAGGGTATATACGGCCTCCCTGGCCTGGTCCCGAAGTACTGTTCCCTCTATTAGGGTAAATATGGCCCTGCAGGCTTAGTCCCAAAGTACAATTCCCTCCATTAGGGTATATATGGCCTCATGGGCCTAACCACAAACACACTTCCCTCTCTCAGGGTTGCTATGGTGTAGTCCACAGGGAAGCCTCCCAGACTGCTAGGGAGCTGGCTTTTTGTGGGGTGGGGAGGGAGGGGGACCCGGGCCCTCCCGCTCCACCAGGTCCCAGCCCAGGGCCCTGTTGGCAGTGGAGGATTCCACTGCCTGCTCGGCGGGGATGCCACTTTCAGTCAAGTTTTGGGCAGGGACAGCCCACAGGTAAGTGAAAACCATGGAGACCTGGGAGTTGGGTCGGAAATGGGAGTGTGTGTGGTCTACAAGAGCAGAGAAAAAGGAGGGACTAGGCAGAACTGGGAGGCAAAATCAAATCAGTATCTTAGATGCCTATATACAAATGCAAGAAGCATGGGTAATAAGCAGGAAGAACTAGAAGTCCTAATAAATAAACAGAACTATGACACTGTTGGTATCACAGAGACTTGGTGGGATAATACATACTAGTGGAATATTGGTATAGAAGGGTACAGCTTACTCAGGAAGGATAGGCGGGGTAAACAGAGAGGAGGTGTTGCCTTATATATTAAAAATGTACACACTTGGACTGAGGTGGGGATGGACTAGGAGACGTATTGAGAGTCTCTAGGTTTGGCTAAAAGGGGTAAAAACAAGGGTGATGTCATGCTAAGGGTCTACTACAGGCCACCTGCTCGGGTAGAATAGGAGGATGAGGCTTTTTTTAAACAACAAAAACATCCAAAGCACAGGATTTGGTGGTGATGGGGGACTTCAACTATCCAGACATATGTTGGGAAACTAACACAGTGGGGCACAGACTATTCAATAAGTTCTTCGACTGAATTGAAGACAATTTTTTATTTCAGAAGATTGAAAAAGTTAGTAGGTTCTAGATTTGATTTTAACAAGGGGAAGGAACTAGTTGAGAATTTGAAAGTGGAAGGCAGCTTGGGTGAAAGTAACCATGAAATCATAGACTTAACGAGTCTAAGAAATGGTAGAAGGGAGATCAGCAAAATAGAGATAATGAAAGTAAAAGAGTGTTAGAAGGAGGAGCGAGAAAAATTGTTCTCCTTGACCTCTCAGGATAGGACAAGAAGCAATGGGCTTAATCTGCAGAATGGGAGGTTTAAGTTGGACATTAGGAAAAACTTAACTGTCAGGCTGGGTAAACACTGGGATCAGTTGCCTAGGGAGGTTGTGGAATCTTCATCCCTGGAGGTATTTGAGAGCAGGTTGGATAGACATCTATCAGGGATGGTCTAGACTCTAGACAGTGCTTGGTCCTGCCGTGAGGGCAGGGGACTGGACTTGATGACCTCTTGAGGTCCCTTGCAGCTCCAGTGCTCTATGATTCTGTGAAGTTTTGCTCATAGATGTTATTTTAAATGTAAATGTCTTGTCTGAAACAACACTTCCTGTACTTTTTCTTCAGATTTTGTCTTGAAAGTGGACTGCTTTACAACACTTCTTTTGGCCATAACTATTGGTATAATCTCTGGATTGACTTATTGGTAAGTTCTCAGTGTTCTGTTTCACATTAAACTATACTCCTAGCAGTGTGTCTTAGTAGCATCAGTTCAGACTAATGTTGTCCAAAGGCTAGCTGGTGCCTATCCCTTACATAGCCATGTGAGGAAACAGGAGAGGATGAAGACTTATGCTTATACAGCTGTGACTAGGTTCCTCACAATTGTGCTTCAGGGGCATTTGGAGGATTCCCAATGTGAGCAACTAGGCAGGAGGTGGGAAGTAGGCAAAGCTATGGCTCTGTCTCCCTAAGCACTGGTCAGTTAAGCTAGCTCGATGCATTGTTCTGTTGCATTCCATAAAGTGATCTCACAAGTATTCCCTCCGGGTATGTCTACACTTGCACCCTCTTTCGAGAGAGGGATGCAAATGAAGACATTTGAAATTGCAAATGAAGCCAGAATTTAAATATGCATATTTGCGTTATGGTGCTATTTTGAAATAACAGACACTGTTAAGACGGGGTTATTTCGAGAGAAAACCCTTCTCTCTCAAAAACCCTTATTCCTCACACAATGAGATTTACCAGTTATTTTGAGAGAAGAGTTTTCTCGCGAAAGAACCACGTCTTAACAGCGTCTGTTATTTCGAAATAGCACCATAATGTGAATATGCAAATGAAGCGCGGCATATTTAAATACTGGCTTCATTTGCAATTTCAAATGTCTTCATTTGCATCCCTCTCTCGAAAGAGGGTGCAAGTGTAGACATACCCTTCATCTCCCAGCAGTGCAGCAAAGGTGCTCTAACAGGAAAGAGGGGGTGTCTAATAGCAGAATTTCTACTGGAGGTTGTAGAAGGAAATCTGGGGGGCTTTGTATTACAGGTGCAGTTTTGCCTCAGTTATTGCAGTCAGCATGAGAAGTCCCATATTCTACTTCCTGTCTGAAGAGAGAGGTTGCATGAAGTGCAGGTTGATAGCCCTGATAGAGGAAGAGATTTGTGGTCTGTAGACATATATGTCCTCCTTGCAAACATTGGGGCTGTGGAGGATTTTCTCTATCCAGATCCATTTTATGCAAGCAGCTCTTAAAGGATCAAGCAACAGAGCCAAGTGGCAAGACAAGGACAAAGAAGATGGATTAAAGTTCTAACTAGTCCAACTACAGGAGTTGTTATGGTGGGCATCTAATGGAAACCACCAAATCTCACCAAAGAACAGGACAATTAGGCATCTGCCTGTAATGTGTAGGAAGAAAAACTTTATCATAGGTAACTTGGGGAGATGTTTGCTGACCATCTAATGCAGCCAGTAACAAACCTTTCTTAGAGCTTCTAAAAATAAGTTATTTCTCAACACAGAAAGCCCTTCAACTAATAGCATAATTCAGCACTGAACTAGGGTTGTTAAAATGGATATAAAATGATGAATTGGTGTAGGGGATTGACCCCCGGGGGGGCTTATGTCCGCCCCCTCAGTCACCAAAGCGTTGTTTGCCGCTGCACGCAACTTACGCGGTATGCCCCGCGGCGGTTGGGGGAAGGGGGTCCGGGCCCGCCCTCGCTCCGGACCCCAGCCCAGGGCCCTAAGGTGAGGGAAAAACTCCCCACCTAACAGGGGGGGTCGAGACCCCTAAACTCCCCTGCTCTCAGGGTCCACCTTATGTCCGCCCCCTCAGTCACCAAAGCGTTGTTTGCCGCTGCACGCAACTTACGCGGTATGCCCCGCGGCGGTTGGGGGAAGGGGGTCCGGGCCCGCCCTCGCTCCGGACCCCAGCCCAGGGCCCTAAGGTGAGGGAAAAACTCCCCACCTAACAGGGGGGGTCGAGACCCCTAAACTCCCCTGCTCTCAGGGTCCACATCCCTGCCCTGGGCCACTTCTTCCCCCCCGGAACCAAGCGGTTCACCTGGGTGTTCCCTCGGCCCCCACCCAGGGCCTCCAACACCAGCTTACGCTCGCTGGTCTTTGCGGGGGAAACGTCTCCTCGGCGTCT